CCCCAAAACCCCAAAACCCCAAAACCCCAAAACCCCAAAACCCCAAAACCCCGATTTTCAAAATAAAACCTGAAATTTAAATATTCTTATAATAATGTCAACTGAACAAGACATCATAGATGCAGCTTATACCAAGAAAGCTAACCAAGTCAAGCAGACTATTAAGCGGGTAACCTCAGTGAAGTTTTGGCATGTCTCTGCCAACATCTAGATCTCTGACTAAACATGTCTCCTAATCTTTTCTATAGGCCTTAGCAGAGCAGGCTTCTAAGAATGAAAATAAATGGTAATTTCTCTTTCTTAACTAAAAAATGTCCTATTTTACAGAAATTTTGAGCACAATAAATGGTTATTTCGTTAAAATTCTTGAGATTTATCAAAAACATAGAATGATTTTCAAAGATGACTTTTTCAAGATCTTTCAAGACAATCATGTAAAAATTGACCCCAAAGCTAAAGAATACATCGACCATAAGTTCATCGCCAAAGGGTCTAATGAGGTACCCTTCAAAGAGGTAATCGCGAGACTGACAGTCGATCTCAGCAAGGACAGGCCTCTTGAGAGCCCGTGGATCATCAGGAGTAAAAAGGTTACCAGAAGGACAGGAGATGGAAACGATATGCTCTCCATTGCATCAAGTTATCTTAAAACTTCTGTCCTTTCTGCCAAATCCAAAAGAATGAACATTGATAATATCATTGAAGAACATTCCCAAGTCATGGATAGAGTCAAAGGAATAGACGACAAGCTCAGAGAAATTGGAGGAGACGATATCTCTGCTACCAAAGAAGAGATGATCGATCGTATCATCAACAACCCTCATCCCAAAATCCCTCTCGATCCCATTGAAGAGGACACCGAAATCAAGCCAGTGGAGAAAGCTAAGCTCAAGCCTACCAACCCTACTAAACCAGAAGACATTGAATTTTATACCAAAGGAAACTCCAATGAGATTCCTCTTCTTCAAAAATTACTCAATGATACTGAAACTTTGAATGAAATTATAAGGCTGAGCCAAATGATGATCGACGCTAAAATCGACTTCAGAATCCTCGAGTTCGTCAAGCGAGGAGTCAACAAGGAACATGACCCCTCCACAGAGGAAATTTCAGTAGCAGCTTTCCATAAGTACTGGAAGAACTTAATCAAGCCAGAGGTGGGCAACCTCGATCCAACCATTGAGGACAAAGTCCTTCACTTCGTGACATCAAAAGGTGGCAACAGTGTAGAAAAATCAAAGCTGTTCACACTCATTGATTTCTATCAATATTACCCCGTCTACGTCCAGAAAGATAGGAATAAGTCAAATGAGGTTTATTACGTTCTTAGCTCAAATACCCAAGGAAGTTATGGAAATGCAGGCGGGGCAAACCTCAACTCAGAATTAGTCAATCTTCTCGGCTACATCAACGACAAACTTCGGGAAACAAACCCTCAAATCTCAAAAGCATTCAGGTTCTTCGATGTAACACACAAATCTGAGATCAACAAAGAAGACTTCATCAAGGGGCTTGAACGGCTTAAAATAGTCATGGAGCCCAGAGAAATTGACCTGGTGTTCAACTATCTGGACACTAAATAAAACTGGAAGAGTAAAGTACAACCAATTTTGTCTCATCCTCGAGGAGAAGTACAAAAAGCTTGATCCCTACGGAGAGCTGAAGAACAAGGTTATCTCAGAACTTAATAATTCTGGAAAAACTTCCCCTCAAACTGAGAAGACTTTCCATAAGAAGGAGAAGCTGGAGGACTACAAGGATCCTAGCCCTTACCACCTCCTGCCATTCACCAAGACTCAGAAGAAGATGAATTGTGCCACTGGGGACAAGAATTATTACGGAGTCGAGAACATCAAAGGCATCGTCAATCATGAATTTGAGAAGGAGTTCATTGAAGCCAAAGCCAAGAAGGAGGAAGACCAAATCATCTCCCTGATCATGAAGGAACAAAATCTCCGAGGAATGGAGACCAAAGCATCAATCATGCGGAACAAGGCGATTAAGGATAAGATCCTGATGCATGAATCCAAAGAAAAGTCACCTTTCAGGTATGATTCCGTGGTTATAGTGTAGATTAAAGCAGTTTGATGAAGTCCTGCCGTCTAATTACATCTCTCAGACTACCAAAGGAGTCAAGAAAAGGTACAATTTGAGCTCGAAAAGAAGCCACATTGAGACAGAATCTGTCCTAAAAGTTGCCAGTCTCACAGCCCAAAGTAATAAGGATGGCACCTCAGTCAAGAAATCAGAGGATCAGAAAATATACCTCGGTGAGAAGGAGCTAGAGTCCCTGTCCAAGACAGGTGCAGAGATACACAGATTCGATATGAGGAAGGATAAGATGATGGAAGCTAAATAAAAAGTATCCAAACTTAGGAGCCACAGCTATCGCTTCTAGGTTTAGAATGGGTAATAACCCTTATAAGTCTGTTAATCAGAGCATGGACTTACGTGCAAAGACTAGGAGAAACTTAACTTCACTCAACAAATCGAAGAATAATAACCAACTAAATAATAGCAATGTCTTGCCTAATATTAAGCATAAAGTGGCAAATCGCTTCCTCAGCCAAGCCAGGAAGGAGAATGATGAATATAGCAAACTCTTGGCAAATCATAGTAACAACAGACTTGTGCAAGCTCAAAGAACAGTAGATCAAGCTCTCAAGAAATACAGAATGGAGAATCCAAATAAAAACCAGAGAGAGAGAATGGTGAGCAGCTACTTCAGCAACAAAAGAAGTATGAATAAGTAATTCAATTCTTACTCTTAATATCGGGGTTTTGGGGTTTTGGGGTTTTGGGGTTTTGGGG